CCCCCTCTTTCCCCGTTTATGGCGTGCTGTTGCTGTACTGTACCAGTCTGTGACACGAGGTGCTTCGAGTGATCTCGCTGCTTAGAAGCATTTCAATGGAAGACACTGCAGTTCATATCAGGAAGGATAATAAGTTGTCTTTCATTTTTAATTACTGCTCATAGCGAGGAGAGTTGTGGAATGAACGATGATAGTAACTGCTGCCCGTTTCAGCATACTGATATTTTTTGGTTGTGGTCGTTTAATGCTCTCGGGCACATAGGTGACAGTAATGTAAGTGTTCAGAGTGGAGTATGTCTGCTCTGAACCGTGCTTAAATACTGGGAAGGGCTGTTGGGATTTGAAAGGATCAAAGATGATGGGGGGACTGGAGCATCTCTTCTGCGAGGAAAGGCTGAGGGAGCTGGGCTTGTTCAGCCTGGAGAAGAGAAGGCTGAGAGGGCGCCTTAGAAATACCTATAAATATCTTAAGGGTGGGTGTCAGGAGGATGGGGCCAGACTCTTTCCAGTGGTGCTCAGCGACTGGGCAAGGTGCAATGGGCACAAACTGAAGCAGAGGAAGTTCCAGCTGAAGATGAGGAAGAACTTCTTCCCTCTGAGGGTGACGGAGCCCTGGAACAGGCTGCCCAGAGGGGCTGTGGATTCTCCTTCTCTGGAGATATTCAAGACCTGGCTGGACGCAGTGCTGTGCAGCCTGCTCTGGGTGACCCTGCTTTGGCAGGGGCGTTGGACTGGGTGACCCACAGAGGTCCCTTCCAGCCCCGAACATTCTGTGATTTCTCTAAAGTATCCTGCATCTTGAAATACCGGGAGTAAAAACTGAATGATATCATGGGTGCTAGGAATATGTAGCGTGCCTAAATAAATGTTGGTAGTCAATAGGGCATCTGAAAGTAGGATGTACATAACTGTTTACATACATAAAACTCCCTGTGTGAAGTTAACTTGAGAGTTTTTAACAACTGGGTTAAGAAATGTTATGCTGAAGAAATTTTACACTTGCATATTAGATTACAGATTCTAGCGAAACCTTTGTAGCACAGATTTCTGCCAGCGAGAGACGTCATGCTGTAGGGTCAGTAAAGAATTTCCGAATTAGAATTAATTCTCATGGACAGTCGAAACAGCGTTTTGATGGAGTTGGTGTTCAAGAGAACCCACAGAAAGTTATGAGCTGGGTAACAAAAGCTTTGATGTTATTGCTTCTTTACCTTCTGTTAGTTTTTTCAGTGGGATACAACAGATCTGAAATTGGACATTATGCTTATTCTGTTTGTTTCTGCATAATTTGCGACTATTTTTGTGTGTGCGTGTGTCAACATTGCAGTCAGCTTAGAGGCTGACTACACCTGCTGTGACCACTTGTGTTGCACGAGTGTTTTGAGGGTTGTATCAGGATGAAGTTCCTACTGGGTTAAGTGCTCTGCACCTGCACAGTGGTGGTAGTTGACTGTCATCCAAATAACCGAGGAAGACAAAAAGGCTAATTAATTACAAGCAACGTGCCACCTTTACTGTTCCCTGTATCCTGTATTTTGTCATATCAGTTTCTTGTCTTCTGAGAGCCTGAATAATCCTGTTCAGCCTGATTGTTTGCACTTGGAGATGAGCACTCAACCCACAAATTGGGGGAAGCAGAAAGCTTATTTTCATTGTGGATAGAATTTAACAGCTGTTGTATCTTATTTTAGGGCTCTATGGTATTATTATTTTTTTTTTTAAGTTTTACTTTATTAATTGGGGAAAGAGAGGGGTAATGGGGTTAAAGGAGGAGATGGTGTCTGACCCTGTTTGGGTTGGGGGTTGTGTTTTTCAGCTGTCTGACAGCGTCATTGATCGTATGAAGGAACCGTCTTCGCCCAGTGGAAGGCCGCAGTCCCAGCACCGATCAGGATCTGGTGCAGGTATGCCTGTGTTCTTCTATTTTTTAATGTGGGGAAGAAAATGAAACGTGCCTTGCAGAGCATTGTAATGAACTCCTTGCCATTTCGTGGAGGTGATTTTTTGACATGAAAATTTTTGCTTATCTTCTTTTGAAGAACCAAGTCATTTGTAGGCTTTTAGCGGAGTTAAATTACTCCTTGTTATCTTCTGGCTGACATTAAAGTGTAAAGCACAATTGTTTATTAGACTTGGTTTTCTACAGTATTATCCATTGTTAAAGACTTTTTTTTTAAAAATAAACCAACAAAACAGAAAAAGCAAATATCCATTCCAAATATGTATTGAGTTCTGAAGTGAAAATTCTGGCATACTTAATCAACACTGAATTTTAGTACAGTGAGTTTCTGTTGAAATATACTTATGCCAATGTTAAAAGAATAATATGTTATTTTCCTATCGTGAAATAGTGGAGATAAGTCACATAGAGTTTATACAGATCGATGGCTCAAAATGATAGCTTGCTTAACATTTTATATTTCATTATTGAGGCCTGTTTGAATGCATCAAATAGGCCTCGTGCCAGGCAGCCTGTCCTCTAATTTAAAATACTTCAGCACAGTGAACACGATGTGGCTACTGGAGGAGTGAAAATGAAGGGCGGAGACTGGAGTATTTGGTTTATGTTTGTCAACTATGTGAAACCTCTAAGGTTAAAGCAAGGCTTATTATCAGTGCTTCAGAAATATTAAAGATATCACATTCCCTAAGGGCCTTTTGCTGTGATACCTATAAAAAATCCCACCCAAACTCAACACTGTGACTAAAAAAAAAGTCCTGTGGCAGTAGTGGGCCTTGTGGCAAGACCTCAATGAACAGAACGTAGCATCTTGCTTTCATCTGAAGCGTAGCAAGTTGGTTTCCCGTCGCTTGCTTGAGGGTGTCTTTGGTGTCAGTGTCTATATCCAGGCTGGGCTCCCTCTGTAGTCAGTAGAAAGAGAAAGACACTTTGGGGGACAATTCTTCTGGCCTATGTGAGGATTATACTTCGGGATGAGATTAATTGCCTCTAGGAATACCGGGGTGAAGAGGTCAGATGTGGGCAACTAACAATGCCAACCAAATCCAACACGGGATGCTTTACAAACATCGGGGCTCCCAGATGGTGCTGGTGTAGGGGTTTATGTTGCCACTTTATGAATAGGAAGGCTGTGGCACAGTGAAGGCACGGAAAATATCAGTGCAAAGAATGACTTTAACTGTCACCTGGCTTGTGAAATGTAGTCTGCACAATAAAATTGCTTAGAATTTAATGCTTACTTAAGTAAGGTTGAGTGGAGTAGGGCTGTAGTTTCATGCGTGGGCTGCTAGATTGTCCATCTCTCTTCTGTTTTTTTTTCTTTTTTTTTTTCTCCAAATAGTAGCCTTCTCATTATGTACGTGTATTTTACTGTGCTGAAGAAATTATGCTAGATAACAGATCTGTATGAAATAATGCTTGAACTTCCTACCTACTTTCACGGTGGTGCTTGTTGCTGTTTCATCCTTAAACCTGGGTAATGGAGGTAGTCTTGTGAATAAGCATCTGTGACTTAGGACGTGGTGACAAGCAGTGAAGGCTGTATGAAATGCACAGTATGTACCTATCTTCATTGGTTTTTTTTGTTTGTTTGTTTCTCTTTGTGTGTTGGAAATAGTGCTTTTATATTTTCAGTTATTGAAAGGCTTAATGAATTGTGTGACCCTTCACAAGCTTTGGAAACCTTATGCATATTTTTGCTTTAAGAACTAGTGATTTAGGTGAAGTGCTTGTGTTTCCCCGGGAAAGTATAATTGGTGTTATACCTCAGTTGCTAAAATGATTTGTATTTAAGAGGATTAAATTATATTTAAGTACATGTTACCATACCATCTATTCCTCTTTCATTGAATGGAATGGTTTTTTCTGATGAAAAATCACAAACTATTGAATTTCTTTGATGCTGTAAGAACAGTCAACCTATTTGTTTATTCTGTAGCTGCATCTTGTCGGAGTCTGCGTTTGTCTGATAAGGTGTCATTACAGGAAGGGCCCTCGCTTCAAAGCGAGCGCTCTGACCACTTAATATCGAACTACTCTGTGTTGATGTCTGTGGGGGCTGGATGCCAAATCTGGGGATCTTCCTGCTGCGATGCAGCGGTGCTGGGGCATGGTTTCTTGGGGAAGCCTCACGCAGTGTTAATGAGACACCTCTCTCCAGGCAGCTTTTCCCCTCCTGTGCACAAATCTGGCGATAGTGACTTGTTTTTCCGACAGTGGATCGCTCACTGCTTCTGAAGAGAGTTTTCCAAGGATGGTGGTGTTCGGAGGTTGGCTCTGGCTTCTGGATTACCAGCTGGGCAATTTTCAAACTTGACAGTTTGTTAGCCTGCATTTATACCTTGACATATTCTAGACAAATAAGACTTCTGCAAAAATAAATAAGATGTCTAGAGAGAGAAACATGAAAGCTATTAAAATCAGCCCTTTCTTTAGGTCAAGTCTTTGATAGCTTTTGGTGGAGGAATAATGGATTAAGTTACATGGAAGAATGTGTATCTTGTTGCTTGCTAGTATATGATGAATTTATTGACTTCATTTTGGGGTCTGAAAATGAAATTACATACACTTACAATGAAATCTGACATCTAAATACTGTGGCTTAAAGCGTCCTAGCTTGCTTGGATCGTTTTCTGACTTCTGAGTAATATTAAATGCACTAAAATATTTAACAAGTGTAAAATCTTTAAAGTATGTCTGTAATTCCTAAAGCAATATTGATGAAAAGTAATTTGGTCAGACAAGTACTTTTTTTTTTTTCCGGAGTGTGTATTATACCTAAAGCTTTAGTTGTAACAGACAAAGGGAACGGTTTAATTCCTTTTAGCTTACTGGATATCTGAAAAGCTAATAGTCTATTATGGGGAAAAAAAAGGAAGAACAAATGCTTAGATTATGAAGAGTCTCTGCATCTCAGACAGCCATTTTTTCCCTTTGCAGAAACAGATTACGCTGATAATACAGAGGATTTTTCTCCTTTTTTATATGTATTTTTAACTGTGTTATTTGTTATTGTTATTTTTCTGTCCTCATGAAAACAAGTTGGTAGAGGACTCATGTCATAAAGTACTATGTGTTGTGTAGGTGTGTAATAAAGTGAGCACTGCTGATGCCTCCTCAGAAATTGGGTTAGACCTAGCACATTTCTAGTGGAGAAAAATGTATTGCTTAGCCTTGTTTGTTTGTGTGGAACGATGCCTTTTAATTGTGTACTCTGTTTTGTTGGTGTCCATGTCTTCTGGTGGAGTTTCAGTGGCCCAGGGTATCTTGGCTCAGTCAGAAACGTGTGAGGAAGTATTGATGAGTTGTACGGGAGTAAGTATTTGAAGAATGAGGCTCTAGTTGGAGGTGCAACCAGGATTTAACTGAGTTTTGGGAAAGCAGACTTCAGCTGATGAAGAGAGCTAGTTGGTGGGATCCCATGGGAGGCAGCTCTGAAGAGATAAGCTCAGGAAAGCTGCGAGATCCTTAAGAACAACCTCTTCCTAGTGCAAGTCCGTTCCAGTACTCAGGAAAATTAACTGAAATATTGGGAGGCTGCTCTGGTTAAACAGGCTCGTGATAGAGCTGCAGCGTGAAAATGAGATCAGCAGGAGGTGGAAGCAGAGACAGACTACAAAATCACTGGATTTGTGGATGAGGAAGGCAGTAGGTGTCGTTTACCTCAACTTCAGCAAGGTGTTCAAAGCTGTCTCTTCCAGTATTCGTATATCCACGTTAGGATGTTGCGGCGTGGATGACTGGACAACAAGTTAGATTGAAAAAAAAGTGGCTGGATGATCAGGGTCAGAGGATTGTGGTCAATGGGTCATACTCTGTCTGGAGGCTGGTATCATGTGGGGTTCTGCAGGAGTTTGTCCTGTTTAACAGCTTTATCAGTGTCGTGGAGGAGGAGTGCGTGCTCCTCAATGCAGAGCACCCCAGATTGGAGCGACAAGGGCAATATGCTCGAGAGCAGGGCTGCTATCCAGAGCGACCTAGACTGGCTGGAGGAATGAGCCCACAGGAACCTCATGAAGGACAAATGCGAAGTCCCACACTAGGAAAGGAGCAACCCCTTGCCACAGTGCACGCTGGAGACTGCCTGTCTGGGGAGTAGCTGCTGAAAGGGAGCTGGAACAAGATCAGCCAAGGTTAGGGACTGGAGTTCTTTCCTTGGGAGGAGAGGCTGAGGAAACTTGGCTTGTTCAAGGTTGAGTGGAGATGGTTTTGAGGAGACCAAACAGCAGCTTTCCCACACCTATGGGACTTGTTGGGAAGCTGGCAAGAGCTTCTTCATGGTGATGTATTGTAAGAGGGCAACAGACAGTGGATGTTGAAGCAGGAGAGGACCAGAGTAGCAATAAGGAGGAACTTTGTCACGATGAGACCAGTCAGGCACTGGAAGAGGTTTCCCAGCAAAGTCGTGCACTCTCCATCCTTGGAGGCTTTCTAGATGTAAGTGGATAAACCCCTCAGCAACCTGATCTGATCTCGAGGCCGACCCAGCTTCCAGAAGAGGGTTTCACAAAATGCCTTCCTAAGGCTGTTTCTGACCTGAATGGTTCTGTGATCCTGTGGTTTGGTGTAGGGTGTGAAAACAAGTTTACTAAGTGCAACAGAGCATTTTTAATCCTGATAACATGAGAGGGGACCGTTATGACCACTCGCACTGGTCTCTTGCAATGTGCAGCCCAAGAAAACGTGGCTGAGAACTTATACACTGGAGTCATTGCTCTTGTTGCGTGTCCAGCTTCCAGGAAGATTTTTTAAAAATTGTATTGTATTTGAAGAACTGCAGCGTGTACTGATGGTACTAGTAATTATGGATAGGCAGATGCTGCATGAAAAAAAAGTAAAACTGGAATAATGTGGTGGGAGGCTCTGCGTTATTGTTTGCAACTTTGAATTCTTTTGTGTTTTTCACTTTTAAGGAGTATGTGGAAGTTTACAGAGTTTGGCTAA